ACAGTACACATGTATAACTACACTCATTTATTAAGTTATCCAAAATTTAGCATACATAACTGACGAACAGCATTTAAATTGTAATAACGTAGTATGTATAGATAATAATAAAGATTTCCCAAATTTACACGCACTCCAATTTAATGTAATCGCTGTGCTAATTATACGCACTTCCAATCTATTGTAAGCAGCTGAGGATATTAAATTATCTTGTCGCAAACCGGGTGACACATCTTTGTATTTCCAGTTAAGTTATTCTCAAAGAATAGGTTTCGTATATTCACCTGTGCGAATAAAAGTAGGTAAAGGCATTGACATATCTTCATCGACTATAATATCATTTGTATAATGATTTTGTTGTAACCATTGTATGGCAGAAGGGCGAGTATGGGTGGAATCAACATGACGTTGGCGAAATACGCGAGCATTATTTTGAAAATTTCCAAGCTTTTCTAATTGCATGTATGACCACATCATGCACACCTGAAAGCGAGAATCGAACTCTAATAATCGTATTTTTATATATTTGCCGTATGTCAATGCATCATTGTTAAGTGAACTTAAACGATTGGTTGTTCATGACGCACAGAGTAATAATATGTTGGGGGGGGGAAATTATAGTAAATTCTATATGTTACCGGTTTGATATTGATATATTGCTGTAGTATTATATCACATTGGACATTAATAAACTTTATTTTTATTCTATACGCTACCAGTTTGATATCATATTCTCCCTTAACCTGTAGTATATGTCGAATCGGACAATAATAAACTTATTTTAATTCTGTACGCTACCAGTTTGATATTGATATATTTTTGTGATATTATGTTAAATCGATCAATAAAGGTAAAAAAGAAAGTTTCGACAAATTATTTGTGTCTAAGTGATTTACAACGAAAATGTCGCTATATTGTTAGCTTGACGCATTTCTGCGGTACCGCTCGCGAACGATCCATAAGTGTTTGTAATGTCTAGCTAATTTTTTGGCGCAAGTTCCAAGTAATATCCGATAAATTTTCTTTGTATAATTGCACAGGCTTGAACTTTTTTCGATACATATATAGTGCGTTTAACTTTATTAATTGCATTCGTAAACCAAAGTTCATAGAGATGTAAAGCAAAGTTATCATTATAAATACGATCAGATCGAGATTTCTGCATAAGTTTCAGATATTCTTTGTATCTTACATCACAGAATTTATTTCCGGTACAATGGCTACTCCAATGTTTTTCTATTCCAATGTGACTATAATTATTCCCCATATTTTTGGTATGCCCAATGTATACTAGTTGATCACACGAGAAACAGATTGCAATTCCAATTGTGGGCGAGTAAGAAGTACCGTCCGCTAGTTGTATCAATTTTCGAGCTTTGAAGATACTTTTTATTTGATAAAAGATGTTTTTCTCTGAAATACATTAAACGTTCCCAGATCCGTTCTTTCCACTCACCAGGAGTTTCATTTGTTCGAACTTGCGGCATTTGACAATATTCGGTCCATTCTTCGGGAGTGTAACGTCCATAAATCTGCTGCCTATTTAAATCCATTTAAAATATCTTATTCAACTATTGTGTTTAAGTTCCTGTACGTATATACCTATATAAAGATTCAATTTTTGTTTTTCGTTTTCAGTCATTAATTCATGATACGTTGGTGGGAACTTATATAATTAATTTAATCATGTCCATAAAGAAACGTTGTCATTCATTGATGACGAACGGTCGCTATGCGGTCAAATATACACTACCCTACAATAAATTACCGGATTTTTTGTCAAACACATAGTAAAACATATGAAATTTTTATTTTTTTTAAAAAGCTCTATTGCACGTATTTACTATGTAAGTCATGACAATTTTTGTACTGATTTGAAGATAATTAACTGTACTTTTCGAGAGGAATGGTGGCATATTTAGACCCGTCATTATTCCGAAATTGCAGTTCAACGAAGTGACAGTATCTATGTTACAATATGAAAATCTATGAAAAACATATGTGTAATGTAAACAGCCTCATTTATCGAACTGCAGCGTCGGAATAATGATGGGCCTAAATATACCACCATTTTTCTCGAAAAGTACAGTCAATTATCTTCAAATTGGTACAAAAATCGTCGTGACTTACATAGTAAATACGTGCAATAGAGCTCTTTTAAAAAATGAAAATTTCATATGTTTTACTATGTGTTTGACAAAAATCCGGTAATTTATTGTGTCCAAAGACTTTTGTAACACACTTATAAGATTTCATATTAATATTCAATTTTATCGTTATTTAATCAGTAGAAAATCAGACATGTGGGATTTATTTTGAGAGTGATCATTAGATAACATTTTTCGCATTAATTTTCAGTATTTATGGTTATCCCGTGACCTGATCATCACATGACTTTTGCAATATCCAGTCTGCTCAACATCAGTAACCATCTTATTACAAATATATGTGAAAAATGGAATTCTCATAACTTACCTTCAAAGTTGTAAAATTCTACTAAAATCCCTCTTCATTCCCGTCAAGTTTTCCTCCTTTTCGATGCTGTCTCATCTTTTGGACAATAAAGCGGTAACATATGACGAACAATCGCCTTATTCTCTTCATCCTCTATCAGTTGCATGAGATCCACAGAAGCTGTTCGCAATTCTTTCAATAACTTCTCAACTTCCAGTGTCTCATCCTCCTGCCTCAAATTCAGACAGCTGTACAGCTCTTTGGTTATCCCGAAAAGCGCATGATATCTGATTCTTCTTATTCCGCCCGTGACTTGATAGAATATTATAACGATGTCCTTCAGCACCAATCTGCATATACAAAGATAGATAGGGCAATATGTAATCCGCGGCGTCTTCCATCTTCATATACGCAGGTGTGATTTTTGAGGTGGCATCTACGCGATATGCTATCGTTGTAACGTGATTTTTGACCTGTACTAATATAAATGTAACACTCAACATCCAAATTGCCATCGATTAGAACTGGAATCATTAAATCGACACCCCTCTGACACTCTTTACAATAAACTGCCGGACCACGCTTGGCAAACTCGAGTAAATCATGCTTCTTGGTGTGTAAGATACTCCTGCAAAATGGTTGAAGCGAACCCATCCTTTTTCTAACTCCGTACCCTTTATGTTTTGCCAGATATCCATAAAAACTTTCTCGACAAACAGCGACCTGAGGTAGTCATGGATATTTACTGGTTCTGCGAACTTGATGCTCAAGGGAGAAGATCGAGCGGTCACATGCTTGTCCCAAGCCATCAGCAGGATAAACTGAGCGATAGTCTCCCCACGGTAACCATGTAGAACAAAACCTTTTCTGATTCCCTGAATCAAATGCTTGAGGATGTCGCTAATCCTAATATCCTCATGATTCATTATTGCTGCTGCTGCCATGGCTAAAGGAGGTTCAGATGGTGAGGCTGTGACAACTGTTTGATGATCCTCAGACACATACGTCATCAAACGCATATAATTCGAGACCAAATCGGTTGCCAACTCGGATTGTGGTAAAATATCAAGGTCAAGGTCACATACAGTGAATAGTATTTGTCTTGATCGTACGTACTACAAGGTCAACCCCGATAAACCGAACCCCGATAAACCGAAAACCCCGTTTGACCGAACTTTTTTTGAAATCCGCATTTTTGCCTATTAAAATTACCCCGATAAACCGAAATTACTATTAAACCTCCATAAACCGTAAACCGAAGATTTTCTGAAACAAACATATCAAAATTTACCCCGATAATCCGAATAAAATGACGTAACAACTTATTTAAGCCAATAATATCATCCACCTTTGTAAACCGAATATTGACCCCGATAAACTGCATATTTCAGCCAATTATATTTGTCTATAGAATTCGCCTTTGTGGAAACATGGCACCTAAAAGAAAACATACAACAATTAAGCTTGCTCGGAAAATTGAAATCTGCAATATAAAGTCTACAAATCCAACAATAAAAAACGTCGAGCTAGCGTCATAAGCGAATAAAGACCAATGTTTACGATATATATTATCTGGCAGTTCGAGCACTTACCCCGTTTATCCGAACATATGGTTTCCCTGAATATACACTTCGGTTTATAGAGCAACCCCGCTAATCCGAAACCCCGCTAATCCGAAGAAAAATTGCTGCACCGCCATCTTCGGTTTATCGGGGTTGACCTTGTATAACATTTGTGTTACTATAATGCAAGATCTCTTGAAGCAGGAGGTGCTCCACCATAAACAACAAATGGAGCTGTTGTTGGGGGCGCTGGAAGACCAGCAGCAGTTCTTTACGAGGGAAGGTGATGAGGAGGGAGAAGAAGAAGACTATGATATTATATGAAGGAGTGGATATTATATGAAGAAAAGGAGTGGACGTTATATGAAGAAGGGAGTGGACTTTAAATGAAGAAGGGAGTGGACTTTAATATAAAGAAAAGGAGTGGGTTAATTGCGATAATATAGAATCGTGATAATAGTATATTAATATTGTGATAGGAAGAAAAAAAATTTTATAATCAATTTTCCACAATTGTGATAGTATGTAATGTGGATGGTGTTCCAAATGAATTGCAGTTGAAAATTATAACTGCATCTTGTGGACATCCAGCCTCCTTTATGATTCTTTTGAAGCTTTACCATCAGTGTCAACCAACTGTAGACAGCTGGAGGAGTGAACTACAACTGCAGCTTGAAAAGTACATGAACAGTACACACCTCAAAATCATAATCAAGAATGCACTACGGGAAAGGTCCCAGGAAGATCAAGCATGTATTTGTGATCTTATAGGCAGTGCTGATGGTTTGGATACTAGTCTACAAAAAATTGGCAAAGTCGAAAAGTACCTGCTTGACATCAGTGTCCTCATGCAATCTGTATCTGATGATAAAATCAGTTTTACAAGCAAGATTATCCTGTGTGTTTGTATCAACTCCCTCTGGCCTCAACCAATGACCACAATATCAACTAATGAAACCCAGGATCCCATCAACCTATTAATTAGTATCATTGATTTTAAAAACATAAGGTGCAATTTTTTCTCCTTGCTCTTTCTTTAAAATACTTCTAATTGTGCTGTAAATTCTTGGGTTCCATAGTGGATTTGATGTAAATTAGTTTCATATTATATTTTTACATATAGAGGTAATCCTATATTAATCCTGTTATGGTTTATATTCATCACATTCTGGTATAATAAAGTATAAAGTTAATGAAGTCCATAAGTTATTATTAGTCAAATTAGTTAATATTAACTTTCAGCCACATCAGCCTCACATTTATGTCACATAACAGAATGTTCACTTTGTCTGGTTTTGTTGCAGTCTGCCCCATATGATAACATCAATTACAATGCGATTTTAGGAAATGAAAAAAAAAAAAAATACAAAGTTGGTTAACAATGTGTTTAACTACAGTGAAAAAGCGAAACCAAATTGCAGAAATACTGGGTGAGATTATGGATGGGAAATAAAGAGATAACATGGATAAATGAATTTAAGCCACAAATCAATGTTGCAGCAATATTAATATAGAGCATTCCTCAACGCTTACCAGCAGACCCACTATCGACGGCAACTATAAATGAAAACTGGCTTAGTAACCCATATCACTACGTGCAATCACATAAATTCTTATGAAGAAAACCTTCTATCCCAGGTACACAATACTCTACGTCCCCAACACCCGAGTCACAAAGTCGTTACCTGGTTGAACAAGTAAAGCAGTCTGCTGCTTTTGCAGCTCTGCTAGAATAGCATACAAGGGTGTGAGAAGCTCCTTTCCCTTGTCAAACCAACCTCATCTTCAATCCTCTTCACCTTTGCTTCAACTTCATCTATTTTTTCCTCAATGGTTGTCATGGTTAATTAGGAAATGGGAAACTGTTATGATGATAATACTAATACAACCTCCCCTACCGCTACGGTTACCCCAAATTTAAGTGACTTTGCGATTGGATGTGGGGGGCGTTACTGTCCACAAACTGTGGCTTGCGATACTGGCCTATCAGTAAGTGATGATTAATTAGCCTTTTCGAAGCCACAATACCACGCACATATCAATCTGAATTTTCGACCGCAATATATTTGAGACTAAAGGCTCTGTATTGTGCAGCTTCTCTTGGCAGTCCGCATACATGTCACTAGACAGAGCAAGAAAAGTCATGAACGAAAAACATACACGGATCTTGCTTGAAATGGCAAGACAGCCGGGCAACGATGTTTGTGCCGACTGTGGTGCCAAAGGTCTGTTAACACTCGATTCACGAGTTACAATCAGAATTTTTGCATACCAATGCCTCTAACATTCAACTTCGTTTCTGCAGCTCCACGTTGGACTTCGCATAATCTTGGTGTATTCATCTGTATGCGATGCGCTGGAATACATCGTAAACTTGGTACACACATTTCAAAAGTCAAATCAATCATGCTTGATTTGTGGACGGCAGAACAAATGGATGTAAGTGCAAGCAATCATGTTAGCGCCATCAAGCTTTCTTTTTTATACAATTCGATTATTTCTATCAGAATATGCGGAAATGGGGCAATCTTAAGGCAAATTCTCTCTGGAATCCTCATCCCGAATTCCACCCTATTCCCGTCAATGCCAGTGACATGTAAGTGCATTTTAAATGTTTCAATTTGGTTTGAAGATGGATAATATAGACTTTCTATTTGTATCATTCCTATCCATCAGAGAAATGGAGAAGTACATACGCAAGAAATACGAGAAAGGCGCGTTTCGTGAAGATAACGTGAGTGACACTTTTATAATTTATCTTCACTTGCTTCGCTCTGTTTAAATAACACTCTCAATATGACATCTACTTTTTCATAGTTAACTAATGCAAAGCCACGTTCAGCTCCAACGTCAAGTTCATCTTCGTCCTATGCCGGGGTCTCCAACTCTGTATCAACGGCATCTTCTTTATCAAGAAAAGAAACAGATGGCGTTGTCACACGTAGTAGTAGTTATGATAGTGCTTTACAGAAATTGAGGGATATGGGCTTCACGGACGATGCCCGTAATCGCGAGGTAGTGGCCACTACCAACGGAGATGTCAAAGCCGCGGTAGAAATATTATGCCGGCTACCGAGTAACAGTGTATCTTCCGCACCCGCACATGGACGAACAGCATCACTTCCGGATGACGATAAAGCAATACAATTATGGAATATGGGCTTTCATGACGACGCAAAGAATAGAGATGCTTTACGCCGTACAGGAGGAAATGTCGAAGTAGCCGCGGCATTGTTGATTGAAGAACGTTCAAGTGCAACGCATACTAGAGAACAACAAGCTTCAGCATCTAGTCAAGCCGTTGGGTCACTTCAGCAAGAACAACAGCGAAAGCAACACAAATTGCCGCTATCGCAATCATCTTCTATTGTGGACATGTCTCCTTCTGAACTAATGCCTACACAAAAACCCCAATTCACTGATGCCAACACATATTCACCGAATGCATACTCGTCTTTAAACAGTCCGCAAATAAATCAGGCTTTTGGTTAGTATGTCGACTTGGGTATTTCCTTCGTTTTACTACGTTCGAGAGCTAACTTGGTCAATTGACGTTTTCTTAGCGTTGGCTGCTCAACAGCAGCAACAACAACACACACAGCAACTCCAATTACAGTCACAATTCCAACAGCCACAAACGAATAATAAGATTGATAAATCTGCGATTCTTTCTCTATACAATAGTCCGCAACCGAACAATACGAATAATGGTGGTTTTGGCGGATTGGATCGGTCAATGAGTGGCTCGACTAGCGGCCTTAATCAGTTACCAAACCAGACTAGTCAAACTGGTTTCCAGCAAGGAATTGCCAGTTTTTCCGCGGACAGCACGAATGGCATCAATCAGCAACAGAACCAATTTGGACAATTCATGCAAGCTCAGCCAAATAATTTTAGTAGTTCAATGAACACTGGAGGAAATGCGACTGTGCGTATACCTTGTTATTGTATTATTTTGGACAACTATGATAATGGTTTATATTCGACAAATTTACTAAAGTCTTACTTTTTTTTTACTGGTCTACCGGTCTACAGGCTAATACGTTCGGCGTGAACAACGGTCTGCAACGGCAGCAATCACTACCAGTTGGTATGAACCTGAACAACCAGTCGAACTACGTGAATTCCCAGTCATTATTTACACCAAATAGTTCAGCATTTGGATTTAGTCAGCAACCACAGCAACAGCCTAGTAACACGATAGGAATGGTTGGATTTACACAATCGCAACCTCAGCAGCAGCAAACTGCATTACTTGGAATGGGCGGTTTCCAATCTCTGCAACATCAACAGCCGCAACAACAACAGCAGCAGCAGCAGCAACAGTCATTGCAACAGCAACAGCAACAGCAACAATCATTACAACAGCAGCAATCACTGCAACAGCAGCAATCATTGCAACAGCAGCAATCATTGCAACAGCAACAATTACTACAACAACGTCAGCAACAGCAACAATTATTGCAACAGCAACTGCTACAGCAACAGTTACAGCAACAGCAATTACAACAACAATCACAACAACATCAAGTACAACAAATGATGCAACAGCAGATGCAACAACAGTCATTACAGCAACAGATGCAATCATTGCAGCGGCAGCAATTTCAAATTCAGCAGCAAAACATGTTTGGTGATGGGATGATGAATAAAGGCATTGGGAACCAACAACCGAACCCACTGGCCAGCATTCCTAATAATACGATGAATACCAATCAAAATACGAATTGGAATGGAATGAACAATTATAGAGGGTTTTAAACAATCGGGAATAGACATTGTAAGAAAATTCTTAATCTATATTCATAGAAGCCTGCTAATTTTTAGAGCAGTCTATTTGTAGATGTGAAGATTGTATTATTAAGTCTTATTTACTGATGCATTATATAAGTAATATTTGCATCGATTCATTCTTTCTCAAGTGTTCACATGTCTTCAACACTGATGACTCGTGTACATTCACATTGTAATTGAAAGACCTAAATATTTTGATTTTTATCTTAACTGTAATTAGTTTTTGCAGAGACTGATTTGTGTGTAAACAATTAAATTAACAAAGGCGAGAGCACTATTATCTCGACATATTGTGTCAGTGTAGTACATGTATAAAATAAACAAACAGTATGGGGCGAACTGACCGGACTAATCAAGGGGTAGGCTAAAGCGGAGCAGATTCTGTGCCACAGCTGCTGCAGATCGACAAAGTAGCCACAAACATCACAAGCGTCGCCACAAATTGGGTATCATGTGATATCAGATCACAAGGTTTCATCATTTGTTTCGAAAACAAAGTTCGCGCGTCGGTTTAGATTTAGCGTACATGCGTTTTGTATTTGAAACTCTTTGTCTGTTAATTCAGGCCGGGCTTTATTATATCTATTTGAAACTCGAATACGATGTTTGAACGCTGAAATATCAAACACTTTATCTGATTAACGTGCGCATTAGTATTAGGAGACGTTGGAACGATGTATGTTTCAAAAGAACGTTTTGAATATTAATCATACAAAGGCATCAATGCCATGGCAAAAGGGATGGGACTAGTGAAGTGTGGTATCAGAATAGCTATAAATTAGATAGCTACGAAGCGATATTCTAGCAACGAAAAACTGTCATCTACAAAGTATCAATAAATAATTTTCATATCAACAATCTTGTTTTGTTTTTGATTTATTTCAACGATGAACACCATTGATAATATCACTCCCGATGAAAAGCGAATGCGCCTGTTTAACGTGAATGAACCGATCGAACTTTCTATCGAAGAATTTGAAAGAAATTGGTGGCCATTGGTAACAAACGTTTGGACGCAATATAATTCTTACAAACACGTCAATGGCGATTTCTGGAGAGGTTACGTTTGCCGCTTGGCTAAGCATCGAGAATCAAGCACACGGCAGGAAGGAGTTTTAGTTGATAAGCGTAGACAAACATCAGTCCGACCGTCAAATATTTGTAATGCCAAGATTAAAATCACATGGCTAATTTCCTCACAAATCGTTCAAGTCGAACGTTATAACGATGCTCCCGATCATACGCATCCTATA